TAGATTAAGTTGACAGATATTTCCGTTATTTCCCAGCTATTTCTGTTGTTTCTTCTGCTGCCTACTGCTTTTTCCATCCTTCTTCCATCTCCTTTTGGCTTCGTCTGCTTCTTTCTTCTCCTTCGGCTTGTTGGTTCGGCTGACAAAACGAAGCTAAATGTGAACCTTTGCTCTTGCTCTTCCTTTTGCCCTTGTTCCTTGCCCCTGCCCCTGCCCCTGTCCATTCCCCATTCCCTTTGCTGTTGTTATTGCTGCGGCTTTTTGTTGGGTGTTTGGTCATGCGACTGCTTGCTCTTCGTGAGGGGGCGGTGTGGGGGGACGGAGTTGGGGTGCTCGGTGAGTGGGCAACCCTCGTGGTGGCTCTACTTCATTATGTGGATGTGCACACCCATACCCATAAGCATGGCCCTAGCATATGTGTGTGTGTGTTTGTCTGCTCTCTCTCTCTCTCTCTGTCTCTCTATCTGTGTGTCTCTGTTTCGCTCTATTTCTGTATGGGTGGGCAAAAGGTAGCGTCAGCCTCTCCATCGCCGTCTCCCTCCTCCTCGTCGTCGTCGTCATCTATTGAATCCTCCTTATTACCAGAGCGCACAAGTGGCGGCATTTTCGTGGCACCCATTTTCCCCAAGTGCTGTGTCGCCCAGGAGAAGGGCGGGGAAACTATGTAGAAGAAGCGAGAAACGAGAGGCGGTGGAGCCAGGTCCGTTGTTGATCCTGTTCGTGGTCCTTAGTTTGGCGGCCGTTATCCGAGCAACGAATTATATGCATCCCAGATGCCACACGTGTGTTGTTGTTGCTCGCCATGTACAGCGATACTGTCCTGTCCAACAAAGGTGGGGGCCTCTCCAATAATCAATCCCATAAGCATGTACAGTGCGTAACAAATATAAGTTAGAGGTAGACTTATACGATACCCTGTATATCCCTTTGGCTCTGGGTTTTGCGGCTTCCATTTCATCGAACCACAGTTATCCAACGAACCCTTGAATTGTGTTAACTAGTGTAGTGCCAGGCCAGGCACTTCTCTTCTGCTTGCATGAAGCGCGAGCGAACTGAGTCCCGGACCAGAACCCTGCTCGTGTCGCTACGCCAGAGTCACCCTCTCCTCTGTGCCTCTGTGCCTTCTGCTCCTGCTTCCATTCCTGCCTCCTCCATCGGCATGCAGCGAAAACTTTGCAATGTCGCCTTTGTGCTTCTCCTCCCCACCGTCTGATGCTGCTGCTTCAATGCTCCACGTATCATCGTATGTGTTGTTGTATGTGTGTATGTGTGTGTATGTGGCATATACATATGTACATATCTGCAACTGTTGTATCTGTATCTGCGCAGCGAGCATTTTCTTCACTATTGTACAAATTATACAAATGCAATGCTGCTGAGACGCTGACGATGCGACGGCAGCGGCAATGGCAACGGCAACGGCGACGGCGATGCTGTCACCATCCTTGGCACTCACATCTCATTCTGGTTGACTCTCGCATCTGTGCGATACATTAGAACTGGCAGGCAGATACAGATACAGATGCAGATACACATTCTGTATCTATTTCTGTGCGGTGTACGGGAAATTGTTGTAATTTGCATGGCTTAACGCTGGATGAGCTGGCGCTGGCGCTGCCATTGCTGCTGCCACAGATGCAGTATCTGCCAGATGCGTGGGCGTGGCTCTCTGCTCATTAGATTCACTTGAGATACGTTCCTTGGAAACACGCTCTACACCATCCATCTCTCTCTCTCTGTCCCTCTGCTATTGAATGCAAGGGGAGAGAGCTGTCAATTATTCATCGAATACATAAGAGTTGACATCCGTTTTGTATTTATCTGCTAATTGTGATAGTCCTGTAGCCCTAGCTAGCCCCCCTGTATGGGGATCCGAGTACCTACAGCGTTAGAGAAATTCAATGAGGATTCCGCTAATCGCTGGTTCCCCGGCGCATGGTGGAAAGTCAATTCTCTTGTATGGATTATAAATAATTCCCACAAAGGGAATTGTATGTTAGACCGAGACAAAAATATGCTAGTGCTATTAAAGAGTAGAGCACTTTCGCTTTAGGGACTGCTTTAGCACGTGTATTACCGCACTTCGAAGCAGAGTAAGTAGAGTAGCTAGAGAGTGAAAACTCGAAGCGCAGATCCATAAAGCAGTTCTCTGGAGGGTTCCTTTCTAGCTTTAAGTGGTACTCTCCCAGATGTTTAATTTTAAAGCGGTTCTTAAAGTTTGCTCTTTTTGGCCACTTCCGCTGCCTGTCTTGCCGCTGTCGCCCCTTTTTGGTAAACTAAAATCCCAACTAATCATGGTGAAACGTGTGCCGGCGACTGCTCTGCTGGGATTGCTTTTGAGCCGCGTGCAGCGACGGGGACACAATCCCAATCAGCTGCCCGAAAAAAAGCTCTCCGTAGTGCCAATTAAGCTGACTTTGAGGAACTTCGTGGTGTCCCATCATGGTATGGGAGAATACCTCTCTCATCCACTTTCCCCTTTGGCTTGCGGCTTGCGCCACTCACTCATTTGCCGTTTTGTGTGCTCCACTGATGAAAATTAACAAAAAGCAGAAACGTCGCTCGAGCTTTTGTGTCTGTGTGGGGTGTGTGTGTGTGTGGTTGGCTTTGCTTTGCTTTTGGCCCCTTTGCGCTCATTTATTTTGCCGTCGGTTGCAGTCGCAGAGGGAGCAGCAGAAGCCGCAGGTTCCTTTTCCTTACAAAAGCAAAAGCAGTCGTCGCCGCCGCCGCAGCCTCTGATGCGCTGATGCTCCTCCAGTCTCTTTCCACTCAATCCCTGCTTCTCTCGCTCTCCCGCACACACACACACACACACAAACTGTGAGACACGCATGTACTTATAAATTTTTTCTTCCGCACATTTTTTATGCATGTGTATTCTTTGGCTGCAGCTTCGGCCAGGCCAGCGAGAGAGAGAGTAAAAGAGGATGGAACAACAGGACAGGCAAGGCAAGAGCATGGAAGTGGTAACGAGTGTGGGGCATGGCTTGGAGCCGGGGAAGAGGGGATAGAAGCAGCAAAACTTGGCCTGCGTTGTCGTTTTTGTTGTTGTTGGCAATGCTGCTGCCACCTTCTGCTCGGCACGACACGGCGCGGCTTTGGCATCCCTTGATGCCCTACCCCTACCACTTGCCCCACCTCCTTGGCTCTGGCATTTCCTTTATTCCGCTCTTGCTCTCGCTGTCTCCCCTCCCCCCGTCTGCAGCCCACGGCCATGGCAGCCAGCCAGCCAGCAAGGCTGACGAGCAAGTTTGAATTGTAATCCTTGTCGTTGCTGTTGTTGCAGTGGCACGTTCGCCCCTCTCGCTGCTCTCCTCTCCTCCTGAAGCCTGTTGTTGCAGCAGCAGCAGCAACTTTCGGTCCGTCTGTCCCTCTCGTGTGTGTGTATGTCCCCCCGCCGCACAAGCCAAGCAGCCGACCAACCGAGCGACCACCAACCCGACCCGACAGCAGTCTCTGCTTTGTCTGCATCTCCTGTCCTTTTGTCTCCCGCTCCCGCACTATGCACGTCTCCCCATCCCAACCTGGTCGGGTTGCCCTTTTACATTTTATTTCGCTTTGGCTCTTTCACTCTCTTGTTCTTCCCCTGCTTACTCCTGGTTCTTGGTTGGTTTTGGTTGCGTTAATCAAAATATGGATATCGATTAAGCCCTAGATCAGAGCTCAAGCCTACCATAAATCATTCCCGCAGGTTTGTCTAGTTTTTGGTTTTGTAGGGCATCGCCTCTGCGGTGCGAGTGCTGCAGTTTTCCCGTCTTTTTCAGTTGGTATTTGGCTGGGTATTTTTTATTTTTTTTATTGCTGTATTGTCCAGCCACGAGTGAAGGAAGAGCGCGCTTACAATAAAAGTGCTCCCATTAGGTGCAGCTGCAGTTGCGGCAGCGCTGCCTGGACTGACTGCGCCGTCCACCGAGGGCTGGCTGACTGCATTGATCTGCTTGGTAATGACGGTTCTGTTCTTTTTCTCCGGGTTGTGCAACTGTTGTTTCTGTTTGGTTTTATTTATAATTGTGCTTCCAATGAAATTTAGCACCTACACTCATACTTACATACGTAATGTCTCTGTGAGTGGGAGAGTGAACGGAGCAAGTCTTTCCTTCCAGCAAATTCCATTCAAACATGTCTTGCCTGTTCATGCCATTTCCCCAGTCATTTATCATGCTCCCGCTTGAAACGCAATTTCACTTGACATTATTCAACAATTTGCATTGCTGCTTCCGCAGTAACAAGCAACACGCATTGGCCTCTCTCTGTACTTCCGCCGCAAAAGTTTTGGCAGCAGCAGCAACCAGAGAGACACCTTTTGCCAGTCTCCAGGCTCTCTCTCATTCACTCACACTCATGCCTGGAGCAATGCACTTGAGCATAAGCGCATACACTCACGCACTCACAGACACCACAACATTGCGAAATTTGCTTGCTCACTCCCACACCACACCCCACTCTCCACCGGGCATGGCATGCATTTGCTTAATTTCTCACTTGTTCCTTTCATGAACACACACACACCCACACAAGAGCAAACGCACTCTGCAGGCAGTGGCCACTGCAAAAGCAGAGACAGAGGCAGAGACGCCGCTCATCTGATTTAGTTATTGTAGCAATTTTAATTACCAACACTTGAATGGACGTCGACGCCCGCAACAGCAGCAGTTGCGGCAGCGCCAGAAATAAATGTAAAAGAAATTGAAACAATACAAAACTCTGCTGCTCCTCAGCTGCGTCGCTGCTGCTGCTGTGGCTGTTGCTGCTGCTCGTGGTCCTGGTTTTCCACTTGGGTCCCTGACAACGACACCTTTGCCCGACTCCACCCGCTACCCCCGTGAACCCGATGCCAACCACGACGCCGACCCGCTGCGCCCACAACAAGGCACGTTCGTTAAATGCTGAATAAATTTTCCCATATAATCGTTGCCACTGCAGCCAGCCGCCCAACGCCCTCCCTCCCAGATTCCCTCCCTCCTCTGCCACAATCATTGGTTTGCTACGCCAGTTGTCTCCACCAGCTGCGCTGTCGGCGTCGCAGTCGCAGTCGCTGCCGCTTCGTTTCGCAACTTGGCTTCGGCTGGCTTCAGGCTGGATGGTGTCGTTAGTTAAGTTCGGAAACTCGTCGGTCGCGCAAGCAGAGCAAGCAGCACACCAAGCAACAGCAACAGCAAGAGTCGTCGTACGGGACGGACGCCAAGAAGAAATTACGAAAAGAAAAAAATACATGTGCGGAGGGGGCGCCCAATAAATGATATGTGAGTGTGCGCGCGGGTGCGAGTGGGAGAGAAGAATTAGAAAAAGGAAGAAGCATCCGCAAGCAGAGTGTATCTACGTGTGTGTGTGTGTTCAATATTTATTATTGCAAAAAAAAAGTAAATAAATAAGTGGAAGAAAGAGAAGAAGCAGGCGGCAAGGCAGTTGCGTGGCGGGGGTGCAGGAAGTGCGACAGATACAGATACACAAATGCCAAAGCAAGAAGCAAAAAAATACGTTTGGGCCAAGTTGCCAGCCCCGGTCCGAGAGCCACAAAACGACGGCGACAGCGACAGCGAAACCCAGCCAAGCAGCGCAAGCAGGCAAAAATCATGTCTGTCGCGTCTGTGCGACTGTTGTATGGTGTATGTGTGTGTGTGTGTTGAGTGTTTCTATATGTGTGCGTAGAGCGCGCACCGCATTTTCTTTTGTCGGTTTTGAAAAAAGGATTAAAGGCACATCGAAAGAGCGGCACTGGCTGCAAATGTGATTCGCATTCGACACTGGATTATTGAAAGTGCAGTGAAAAGCAGTGCCAAGCGGTGCGGTTCAAAGGAAGTTCATAGTCAATAAATAAATAAAAAACTCCAAAGCAAAAGAAAAAAAGGTTCGCAGTGGGAGTCAAAGGAAAGTCTTGCAGTCGCAGTTCAACGCAGCTGAACTGTAAAAACGGCCAAAAGGAACGAATTTTTCGGATTACGGAATAACAATATTGGGATAATGATAAAAAGCAAACGAAAATTTGCTCAAGTTAAGAGTGCTTTCAAGTTTTGTGAGCAAATTGCAGCTCCAATAAGATTTATTGCGTCAACTGCATTCCGGCGACTGCAGCAGCGGCAGAATGCGTCGTCGTCGTTCACTTTTTGTATTTTTATGTATCAATAATTACAAAGAGAGGGAGCCACAGGCACAGTCCCAGCAGCAACTACAATCGAATCGCTGGCTGAGAGCAATGGTTGAGGGGGGAATGGGAATGGTGGTTGAGTTGAGTGGTGGAGTGAGGGAGCTAGGCAGAGCAGGCTGTGGAGCGATGGAGAGGCACAGCACAGCACCAGCACAGGCAGAAGTAACGGCCAGTCAGAGCAAGCAGTAACTACAACAAACACATTGGAGACATGTTTGTGCGGCGGCGCTCATTTATTTTATGTCTCGGTTTTGACGTTGTTTCTGTTCTGTTGTTGTTGCTGCTGTTGCTGTTGCCGTTGCGCCACTTTGGAGCTGAGCTGCCTTTCTGCCTGCCTCCTGTCCCTTTGCTCTACCAGAATGTTTGTATGTCTCCCTCTCACTCCTAGTGTTTGTCTGTATGTCTCTTTGTGTGTGTGTGTATATATATATCAAATTGTGTGCATGACACGACCCGTAGCGCTGCCTGCGTCGCTGTCGCAATCGCAGTCGCTAACATTTCGCTGGCTGTTACTTTGTTCTTGTTCTTCTTTCAATACACTCGCAGAGCAGGGAATTATGATTTTTATCAAATGTATGGAGCGTAGAGAAGGAAAGCGATTTTATAACCAACAAAATGGTACATAGTAGGGATGTGTTCTTGACCAACATTAACAGTGGTCTTGTCTATCCGTTTGTTTCCCAGTTCTCAAACTTAAACTTTGCAATCAGTTCATCAGGGTATTAAATGCTTCGGCAAACACACTTAATAATTTTTTTTTCTGGTTTGTTGTATGCTGCTTCTGCGATAATGATTAAGATAAAAAAGAAGATGATGATCGACAATGTCTGTGAACTGCTGAGAAAAAAAAACTTTTGAATGCCTGGCTGCGTGGGCAGAGCGTGGCTGGCCGATATGATGATGATATGTATCTCTCTTGATCCGCCTGTCAATCGTTTCTTAACCCATTAGCGTTGAGTGTATGCCTATGGGGCCTAGATACTGTTTCCCATACGAATGCACGCTTTGCTGTCTCTCTCTCTCTCGGCCAATTGTTGTAATAGTTGCATTTCCCACTGCGCTTTGGCTCTGCTCTGTCATGGCCTCTGTCACTATCTCGGTCTATGCTTCTGCCTACGTCTGTACCCCGTTCATCCCTTTGTCAGCCAGTCTCATGCTCTGTCGGTTGTACTGCTCTCGGCCATTCCACTCCACTCCATCCACTCTCTCACTCACTCGATTCGCCCATTCCCATTTCCACTCGTTTCTAAAATACAATTTTGTTGTTTCTCGTTTATTGTAGCGCAGCAGCAGCAGCAGCTCTGTTTGCGGATTTGTGATTTCGATATTTAGTTGGATTTTTGCCGACGCCTCCTCCTCCCCCCCTCTCAACCGCTACCACCGCACTCACTCCCCTCGACCATTTCGCCCAACAAACCAAACCAACGCGTTGCCCCTTTTCCCCACCGTTCCGCACGGTCCATCTGTCAAGTTGTGTGCGCCCGTCGGCTGGTGGCGGCTTTCGCCTCGCTCCCCTCCCCATGCTCTGCCTTTGTTGATTGCTATGCCGCAGCTCCCCCTCTGCCTCTTCCCCTCCTGCTCCAATACTCTACTGGCCGGCCAGTCCATTTTCGGTTTGTTTCTGGGGGTACGAGTACGTACGGTGCACGGTGAGAGAGGTTCGTGTCTCTGCCGCATGTTTCTTTTCATATTATTTAATTTATTTCGTTGGTTTTTATTGTGGTCCCCGGCTTCTCCTCCCCTCACCACTCTGTACTCTGTGCCTGCGTCTACAATTCGTTGGTGTTTCCATGGGTTCACCTTGCCCCGCATCCCCTGCTTCATCGCAGCAGCATCGTCATCGTCGTTATCCTCATCATCATCATCCCTTCAATCCGAATTTTTGAGGAGGCATTCCATGATGAATCTGTTTTCTTGTTTCATTTTAGTCATTTGCTTTGTTCGGCCTTCCTGCCTGCTGCTGCCTCTTCCTTTCCTCTTTCTCGCCATGCATTTCACTGCGGGCAGGGCACCGTCTTCCACACACACATGCGCTCCCAGATGGATTCTCTTTGAGAAATGCATCTGCTTTTAATTCCTCGCTTTACTTCAACTGCACTTTTTGTGTGCGCTTGTTGCTATCACATCACTCTCCTGTGCACACAAGTCAAAGTGGACAGCGCGAAACTGCTTTGCCATTTGATCCACTTGAATGGAAAGTAGGGTGCGGGCAATTAAAGCAGATTTCCAGTTTGCATTCAAACGATATCTTTGTAAAGGGAAGAGGAGTGAGGGTGGTGGGATATGTGTGTGTGAGTGTGGTGTGTGTGTGTGGTGTGTCAAAGTTAACGAGAAAACTGTGATATCATTAGAGCAAAAGGGGAAATATCCAGCAACCAGATGAAAGCCCTGATACGAGTATTAATTGAATTACAAACCTCCGCTCGATGTTTCCCCAACCGTTTTACAACCCTAAAGCTGAAAAAAGTGAATTTTGTATGGTGGAATGGTAGGTTACAGTTAGGTTGAGCTCGGTTGATATGCCATCTGATTGATTGCTTTCAAACGAACATGCAGAGGCTGGGAAGTGAGGTGGAGAGAGAGCCCAGCTTACTCCATGCGCTGCTGCTTGCCACTTGAATTGAAAGCGAGTCTCGTTGTTTTTGTTGGAATTTATTGAAGCGCATCACAGACGAACCCGCTCTCTCTTCTTACCTCTAGCTTCTTAGCTCATTCCCTCCTTCATATTCTCTCTCTGCCCGCACTCCCTCCCCCCTATCCGGCCCACGCATCGCCCTGCCCGACTGTCAATTGTTTTCTTGGCCTCTTGGCCGAACTTACTCTGCCTGTACAACCCTCGCTCTCTCGGCCTGTCGCTCTCGTTCTCTCTCTGCCTCTGTCAGCTGCAGCTGATTCAATTGAAAAATGCGAGCGTTCTGTATTGGACTGTCGTTTCGTTGTTTCTTTTTTTTCTTTGCTGTTTATTAGCTTTCTTGCTTGAGACTTTGGTTCGCTCTGCAACCCCTACTCACCCTCAACCCACCCTCCCCATCTCTCCTCTTCCCCAATTCCCTCTTCTAAAGCGCTAAATGACTGGCAGCCACGTCTCTGTCGCTTTTGGCGCTGACGTTGACGTCGAACATTGTCGCCGAAGAGAAGCTGACTAAAATGCCGCCATTGTTTCTGTAAATGACTCATATCTCCTCTCCCTCTCTCTCTCTCAGCCTGTCTCTTCCCCACTCTCCTACCTTCCATCAAACGCAGATTGTTGTTGCTGTCTATACAGAAAATGTAAAGGAAAAACAAAAAAAAACATAGACAAAAGGGAAGTTTTTGATAGATAGAAATACGGATGAAACTGCTTGTTGAGTTTGGTTGATTCCGAAATCATATGGGTGTAGCTGATAGCACTGGAACGGATAAAACGAACAATACCCTCGGAAAGCGTATACAACAAGAAAAAGCATCAAAAATTATAATTTTGCATTGCGTTCTTCATGTGCTTTTATTTTCTAGCGAGAGAAAACGAGTGGGAGAGTGAACGTCCGACACATAAATTTCAATAATCATTTAAAAATTAATTTCCTTTCCCATCAGAACTGAACAAACATACGGCATCATCTGTGTCTATGCTGAGTGTGTGTGTGTTAACCAGGCCAAAAAGCCGCAAAACAGAAATCGAAAAATAAAATCATAAATTCACAAGAAATACAACAGAAAAAATCATTAAATTATTCCCGAAAAGAGTGATAAAAAATCAACAATAAAGAGCGACAAAAGTCAATTGTTAATTTATGAATAATAATAAAATTAAAATAGAGAAAAATCATTAAAAAGAGCAGCAATAATAATGAGAAAGTGACTCAACGGAGGATAATATTGAAGCTTAGGTGAGTTTTCACGTGAGTGTGTAGAGCGAGGGGGGTTTACTGCCATTCATTGCTTAAATCGTCTATAAATCCTATTGTATATTCTGCCATTGGAGCGGATTAATTGTGCCAAAGGGTAAGTGGAATGAGTGGGAGAGGTCGAGATGAAAGGACATTTGAGCGATGGCAATCGTTTTGCCTTTTGGAAAACATTTAAGGAGATTAAACTAAACTGAAAATAAAATATCCCTTCTGGAGGTAAATAAACGTTGAAGTTGAGTTTCTAGCGTCCCAAGAGAGCTTTCCATTGAACACAAATTTCTACGAATTTTAAATTTGTATTAAAATATTATTCAGTAGTTTTAAACATTAAATCCGGCTACCACATCCGCAGGTCCTTTCTCTCTCACACTCTGCAGCCGCCCCTCTCCCTTGCCTTTAAGCAAAACCGTTATGTTATCCTTCCCTCGCTCGTCGTTTTGCCTTTTGTTGGGATAATCCGATTGAAGCATTAATTAAATGGGAGCGTGTGCGTGGAGGAGGGAAAGCGTGTGTGTGCGCTCTGTCTCCTTCTCTGTTATTTGCTGGATGTGTTTGTGTGTGTGTGAGAGAGAGAGAGCATATTAAATTATGTGCAGGCGAAGTTTTTAATTTTATTTGCCTGTCTAATGAAATCACTGCAGCGCAATAGCATTAAAAGGCTTTTTGTCCATAGCGAAAATACAGTTGTGCAACAGTCGCAGCCAGAGAGGGATAGACAGATGATCGGCCACAGGGCTACTCATTTCCCGTTTAGAGTCTAGACATTATCTAGATGTTGCCCAAATGGGGATTTGTCCTTTGTATTTGGATTCCCACTAAGCTTGGCACCGTCCATTAGCTACCTTTAGGGCATGGTGGGAATTATGGTCATCTACTGGTCAACTGCACATGACTGGAAACTGCATGACGTTATCAATGGCCATAGCCAGAGGGGGATTACGGGTTTGGGCATTGTATTCCATGCAGCCAGCCACAAAACCCACCCACACTCCACAGAGAGTTAGAGAGAGAGAGATATTCCCACAGAGAGCGGATGGGTTCAGTTCAGCTTCTTCTCCTCCTTTCCCCTACTTTCTCTGTATTTGTATTTGTATTCTACTTGCTCTGCTTTGCTTTGGCACTGCTGCTGCACTCTCCCACTACATTCTCCTTCTCCTTGAACTGCGCTGCCTGGAGAGATTCCAGAACCACCGTCGACTGCAGCTGCGAGTGTCGAGTGCCGAGTGGTTGGGGTTGGGGGACCCGGGACTGGGATATGGACAGGTTGCGCTCTGGGTTGCAAATGGCAAATACGTCAATGTTGTTGGTACCTCCACCCTCCCTCCCCTCCACACTCACCCGCAGGCGATGCTGCTGCATTTGTTAGCTGTGTTGTGTGCTGTGCGCTCTCTCAATCCTCATCCTCCTCTTACTCCCCTCGCTCGCTCGCTCCCTTATGCCAGCTGCTGCTGCTGCTTGCTTACTCGTTCTCTCACTCTAATTTATGGGTCGTGCGCGCTCTCGTTCCACATTGAGCCTTTGCCTCCTGCAGGCAGCAGCAGTCACATCAGCCAGGGTGGCGAGAGGGCGGGCTGGAAGGCAGAAACTACAGCAACACCGTTACATAAATACCAGCTACAAAAACAACTGACTGCACTACTTGTTGTTGTTGCTGCATAAATTCATTTGTTTGTCGCTCCTCTTTTAGTTGTTGTTGTTGCTGTTTTTGGTATTACTCGCTCTGCTGCTGCTCTGGGGCTGCCTGCGCTCTGTCACTGTCCTTTGCGTTGGCGTCGCTGTCGACGCTGGCATCGGCAACGGCATGGGTATCGTGTGCTAGTCCTCGTTCCTGTTGTTGCTGTTGTTGGTGGTGGTTTGCCTTTCCTTTCCCCCTTTCGTTGCCATTTTCAATTTTAGTTTTGCTGTTTCTCTTCTTCTTTTGCGACGGCTTCTTCTTCTTCCCGTTCATTCGTTAGTGGATTCGTTTTACTGCCACTCGCCGCACGTTTCCCTCTGCTCAACACCCCCCCACTCCCACGCTGCTGTGTGTCCTTGCACGCTCGTTTCCTGTTCGGTTTGGCGCAAACTGCGCGACAATCCATGGAATGCCCTGAAGCGGAGTGGCGTTGGCGGTGGGCAGTGCCGGGTGGCGACGGACGATGTAGTGACTCGGGAGTTACAGTGCTCCCCCTCTAACCTCCTTTTAGGGGGAGGACTCTTACACACGCCCCGTTTCGGTTCAGAGTTTACATTTTATGTGTGTCCCTTTTTTTTTGTGGATTGCGCACACGACGTCCGTGGCGAGAGACGAAACCCAGCAGAGTCGTCCACTCCCCCTTTGTCACCCCCATTCTCTCTCTCTCTCTCTTTCTGGTTAGTGCTTCCTTCAAGATAATATTATACAGCAACAAGAAGGAGAAACAGGAAAAAGAACAAACTGCCATCTAGATCCCACAGCGTGTTCCGATATGCCTTCTCTTTGCTTCGATTGCATTTTCGTTCATTTCCTTTACTTAAGAGTGAGTGAATGATTTACCTGCTCTGCTGAGTCGCAGGAATAAGCAGTTGGTTAATGTTAGGCTTCAGGAAGTTGCAAGGTGTCCTTATGGTAAGCTGAGGCATTAATAGGGTCGGTCCCTGCACATACATCTGTACATATGTATGTACTTATGTATAAGTAGACACAAAAAGATCAGGAATCTCTCACTTTGTGGAAATACATTGCTTTTGAGCAAGGAAATTGCATTTACCGTTGCTGTTGCTGTTTCTGTTTCTAGTGAGCATTATTGTTGCCTTGCCCGGAATTCCCCTCAATACCTGCGATGTAATTGGAAATAATTTGGAATTTTCATGAAAATGCAATCGCCTGCCGCCTACGCATTCACTGGAAGGGTGTCAAATGCTTCATTTGAGATGTGATTAAATCAAATAATAGATAAATTGCTTTAGGTTAAAAGCCAATTATAAAAGCTTTAATTCAAGTACTGAGGTTTTCCGACGTCTTACCGAAAGCATGCTGCAAATTTAAGTGAAAAGTTGCCAAGAGAAAATAAAGTGATTGATTAAAGAATGAGCTAGCCTGCACTACTTGTTGCTGCACTCAAACTGCAAGTGCGGGGGGTGGGCAGACGAAAAAGAGAGTGGTGAGTGAACGAGACAGAGGAAGAGCGAGAGAGAGATCGAGCTGCCAGACGGATGACGCAGACTGTAAGCACTGTAACTTGTCTGCTCTGCATGTGCTCTGTGCTCGGTTGAGTCAATAACCCCGTCCGACGGGAAGAGAAGAAAAATAAGAAGTAAGCGAAGAAACTCTCCCAATCTCCTCTCTTGCGTGCTTGCGCCGAACAAGAAGAGTCAACGTGAATAATGGACAGAGGCAAAAAGAGTGAACTGAAAAACGGCGGACGCGTTAAAGCCGCCAACAATCAAAAGCAACAGCAACAACAGCCACATGAAGCGAAACGCATGGATGGCAACAGCAACAACAACGAAAAGAACAACGAAAAGAAGGAATGAGAAATCATGGCCATACCTAAATCTAAATCCACAAGAATTCCAGGCAAAAGAATAACTGCATATGTGTGTGTGTGTGTGTGCAGTAAGAGTCAAAGATGAGAGCGCGAGCGAGAGATCAAGGAAATTGGAATCGAAACGCGGCTTTTGGAAGGAGAGAATTCGCCTGCCTTCCTTTCTTCGATTGCTGCAGCGCGTTGGTTCTGAGTGCACTTGACCCAGAGCAGAGCGTAAGAAAGAGAGAGAGAGTTATTTTTCGATTCGGAAAGGGAATCAATAATGAATGTAAATAATTGGACTCATCGAAACCTAAGGGTAGCTAAGGAGGCGCACCACCCACTGTCAGGCAATTGATTAGCTTATTGACCGATGTGTAGCAGCAGAACACGAATAATCTTGAATAGAGCAAATCAAACGGAATATACCGAACCACAGTCGGCGGTGGCGGCGTCATTTGTTGTGTGTATAACACGAAAACGAACGTGGGCAACGGGCGGGCTGTGGCGGCGGGGTATCGCCAAGATATAACACAAAATCAAACACACATATAGACATACAGCCAAACAGACCCGACACACACACACACACACACAAACGTACGACAGAAAGACAGACTGCCAATTGAGTTAGTGAGAGAGAAGATAATCAAGAGCAAACAACAAAAGCAATAACAATGGACTTCCAACACCACAGTACTGGTGGTGGGGAGGGGATAGGGTGAGATGTGAGCTTTGCAAAAGAGGCAGCGGGTAGGGTAGGGGTATGTATGGCTATGACGCCAGCGTCGGACAGCACACAATAAGCAGAATTTCACATTTGTACGCTGTCACTCACAAAAATTGAAACGACTGTCGAAGCATGGGTGAGAAGGGATGGGAACGGGGAGTGGTATCGAGTCATTTGCTACGAGAAAAATACATACACACAAACATATCTAGCGCAAAAAAAAAAACGCTGCTCGCACACCTTCATTCTTTGCAACTCTGGGGCCTGCGTCGGCAGCGCTAAATGGATACCGTTTGCGGGTGGTGACACCGAGCAGCACAGTCGTGTCTGTCAAATCATGTTCATTTCCTCCCTCCCTCCACCAACCACTATTCGGTCACTGTGCGGTTGCGAGCGAGAATCAGCCAGCATTAAACCATTTAGAAAAATCCGACTCGGCCACCCCCTCCCCGCCCCAAAGCAGACTTCTGCCGGCTGCATGATAAGAGCGCACATCTGTCGCCAGTCGATGCGTGACAAAAACACCAACAAAACACTATGCGCAATAACGGTTATTAACGAACCTCCTCCCAACCATACGACAGACAGACGCTACAGTGACAGACAGACAGAGTGGCCCCGGCCCCACCTTTATTGCTCTGCCTGACTAAACGTAGCCTCATTATAATGATTAATTCACAAATACAAAAAAAACCAGAGACATTTTCTTTGCAAAAAAAAACACAAAACTCTAATTATCAACCACTGTGCGGTGTCCAGCACCATTCATCTGTGTGCTGTGCTCTCACGCGCTCACTCGCTCTTGATCTCTCTCATGTTTCGTTTCCACTTGTAACGCGGCTTGACGTTCCACTCTCGCCGCGAAAAAATTTAACACAGACACAGACGGAGTCGCGTCACGTCGCTGTCGGCGTCTTGTAAATATATTTTGTTAATTCTACATTTTTTTTTCATCAACGAAATGCAATGCCGAAGAATGTAAACAAAAACTATTTGATGCCGTATCCAGCGGATTCATGTGAAGTAAGCAGAAAAAAGAAAAGTCTCCGGCAGACAGTCGTCTGTCTGTCTGGTCTGTCTTGTCTGTCTTCAGAAAATAGCGTAGTCGGCGCTTATGTATAACCGTAAAATGCGAAGAAGTGTGAAAGGGAGAAAATAAAAACCTGTATCTCCGAAAAATTTCATGAATGAAAGTGTAAAAGTGCAACAACAACAACAACAACAACAAAAAACGCTCAATTAAAAATGTGAAAAATGCTAAACTGAATTTTTTTCTTCTCTTGTGTATTTCATCGGTGTTCTCAGTCGTCTCATTGTATGTATTTGTGTGTGTTGGGTCTTACCTTATGATATGACAAGTTAAACGCTTTCCGCCGTTTTCATTTATCATTACAATTACATTAAATTACATTTTTATTTGTAAATACATACAATTTTGTGCGTAAATTTGAATTCGCCGTGTATTCGGCCACCAATTCGCCGCTATGCTGCTGATGCAGGTGTAGTGGTGAGCAGGCTCTCTGTCGCGCTCTCTTTGCTCTCTGCCGCATACAATTACAACAACATGACGCGGCTTTTGCTTCCGTTTGCCTCTGTTTGCGTGCTCTTGTGCCTCTGTGTGTGTGTGTGAGTGGCGTGTAGTTTTTTTAGTTTTGTTTTGCTTTTCATGTTTCTGCCGTTTCCACTTTGTGCTTGTGGTTCGTCCAAGCGCACGGCATTGCCAACACAAAGTGTAGAGTAGAAAGGAAGTAACAAACCAATGAATGATGTTGTTGATGGAATTGATGGGGGGCAAAGATGATTATAAATGCACTTTTATTATTATTATTATTATTCTTCTTCTATTTAATAGATTTTTATTATTAATTATTTACAGAAACGAAGCGCATGTAGCGCACAATAGCTGAGCCCAACAACAAAGGGAATACAAATTTTAACACCATTGGATTTTGAACATGAACAAAAATGCCGGAGATGGCAGCGGCAACGACGGCAAAAACTCAAACAATCATGGCAAGGGCGGCGGTGGCTCCAACGCGGGTGGGGGCGCTGGGAGCTGTCAATCCACACGATCCTACCGGACTCCTAGATGCCGCCTCGCTATTCGGTGAGTCCTTTTGGCGCACATCCTTTAACCATCATAAGCTAATCCAATATTTTCCGTCTCTAATCCCACAGCTTATTGGGGCCGTGATCCCACTGGAGCTGCGGCTGCAGCCGCCTCCAATCCGCTGTTCAACTCACAATTCAATGCAGCCGCCGCAGCTGGCTTGGGCCTTCTGCCACAAACAGGTGGCGGCTCTGCCAACGACCGCTACTCAATGGCCGCTGCAGCGGCGGCAGCAGCGGGCGCACATCATCATCAGAACACCATGGCAGTGGCTGCCTCCCAGGCCGCCAGTCTGGCAGGTCTGCATCCAGCAAGTGAGTAAAATGTCGGCATGCATCCGTATTTTGGTGGTCTCCCCTGCCTCTGTGGTGCTGGTCGCATTGTAAGCCCAAAAGAGACGTTTGTGGGTTCGAATCCGCCCTTTGGTGACTGAAGTTTCTGCAGAACCTCTCGCGATTCTTCTCTCACTTTTTGTATGTGTGTGTGTGTGTGTGTGTGGTGTGTGGAGGCAAACAGCAAATGCTCTCGTCCTACCCGAGCGAGGCATTTGAAGAAAATCCTCCTAGAGCAAAATCTTTGTCTAATCCTCCGTACTTCTGCATCCTGCACTGTGCTCTCTGCCCTGGCCAGTGCGGTAGGCGGCACGGGTTAGGCACATTAACTATTTTGGGGGAAACCCCCTCTGACGCCTTGCCCTGAATCATCCGATTGCTAATTCCAATTCCTTTTCGTTGCAGGCTGGTGGTCGATGGCCCAACTGGCAGCGCAGGACTACTTCAGCCGCCTACAGGCGTCCGGCCTCTCACCATTCCCACATCCAGACCTGGCGGCAGCCTTCGGTCCCGCGGCCATGGGCATGGGCGCCACAGGAGCAGGTGGCAATGGCGGAGGTGGCAGTGGCAGCGTAATGGGTTCGGGTGCTGGCAGCGGCTCAGCTGTCGGTGGTGGCAATGGCGGAGGCGGCGGATCTTCCAGCTCATCGGGCAGCAAGTCCAACAAGTCGCGCAAGGAGAAGCGAGCGGCGCAGCAGCAACAGCAACAGCAGCAGCAGAGTCTGGCCAACAGCCTGAATGCGGCGGCAGCAGCGGCTGCAGCAGCTGCGGCGAACAATCCGGCAGCAGCTCTGGCCAGCATGCACGGATTCGGAGTGCCGGGATCGGTGGCGGTGAGCACGGGCAGTGGCTCGATCTCCACCAGTAGCGGCCACGGAGGATACAAGGTATGATTTTTCTTGGACATCTGTGAGCCTCATTGTGGATCTGCAACGTTTAATCCTCCACTTGCAGAGCACAGCCAGTGCGTATGGGAAGCCCTCGACGATGACGAGCAACAGCATGGCCAGCAATCCGAGCTCAGCGTACGATCCTGTGACCCTGCACAAGGAGCTGATGGCCATGCAGGCTGTGGCAGCTGCCGCCTCAGGATCGGGTGGGGGCTCGGGCAGCGGTTCGTCGGGCAAGAAGTCTGGCGGCGGTGGCGGCAGTTCCTCCTCAATGCACAGCCATGGACTGTCTGGTCTGGGCATGGGCGCCGGTGGCAACGGTGGCCTCATGTCCGGCAGCAAGGCATCGTCCACGAATGTCAGCTCCAGCAATGCGTCGTTGGGTGGCATGCACTCCAGCTTGGGCAGCGCCAATCCGCTAATGTCTCCACATGGCATGGGCGGCGGCTCCTCGTCGTCTTCGGGGTCCGGCAAGGATCGCGACAAGAACAATCCCTCGCTGAATGCCCTCAATTCGTTGTCGCAGTTTGGGGCCCTGGGCATGACGCCACAGCAGAGCATGCAGGCGGCGATGAATGCGTTTGCGGCAAGCACGGGAGTGGTGCCCAGTGCCACAGTCACATCGTCCTCGTCGTCCCAGCATCACAACTCCTCTCAGCAGCAGCAGCAACAGCAGCAGCAACTGCAGGCGGCAATCAGTTCAACCGGTGGATCATCGGGAGGCAAGGGTGGGAATGGTGCAAAGGATTACATGAGTGCAGCAGCGGGAATGATGAGGTGAGTGTTTGATTCTCGCTCCCCTGAATCAATGCAAACTTATTAACGATTCTCCTTGTTGGAACAGCGGCAGTGGCAGCAGCGAACATCCCTCGTTGCTGGGCGTTCGACTGCCACCGGACACGGAGATCATCAAGTATACGTCCTCGATTGTGGGCCCCAAAATACCTGGTACTACATCAAGGGGTCGCAAGAAGACAATTTCCGAAACAGAACAACAAACCACACAACAACAACAGAAACAACAACAACAACACCAAGCAGAACAACACCTACTCCAACAACAACTCCAACAGCAACAGCAAAAAGAGCTCGATAGCACCACAAATGCACTCTCCTCTCTGCTTGCATTTCCAGGTCTCAGTCCCGCGAAACGGGCTAGACTCGAAATGGAGTACGCGGCAATGGCGGCAGCCGCCCAGCAGCACCAACAGCAGCAGCAGCATCACCACCAACAGCAGCAACAGCAGCAACATCACCAACAGCAGCAGGCGGCAGCAGCTGCAGTGGCAGCAGCCGGAGGACTGCATGGAATGCTCGGAGCCGCTGGCATGCCAATGGCCGGTCTGTCTGGCCTCACGGGCATGTCCAATCCGCTGGATCAGCTGAGTGTCACAAAGTCCAGCGCCTCGACGGTGACCAGCAATTCTTCCGCATCCTCGATGGCTGGCCATGGTCACGGTCACGGCCAGGGCTCATCCAGCGATCGGGTGGAGGTTATTAAGCTGCCACCAACCATCACATCGAACGGCGCCTACAATCTATCCAGCAAGGGCAAGGAGGTGCACGATCTGACCAGCGATCATGCCCCCACTGGCTCGGGAGGCGTCAATCTCAGTTTGAAGTCGAGTTCGTTGCCCACCGCTGCCACTGCCACTGGGGCCGTGGGCTCTGCCTCGAATCCCATCACCATCGATGACTTTGATGCGCCGCTGAATCTGTCCATGAAGCCCTCGGACAAGAGCAGCGGCGGCGCCACAGCGGCGTCCACTTCCTCCAGCTCGGCGCTGGCCAACATGGCCAGTGAGTATCAGGCGGCTGCCCAGGGCGGCAACAGCGCCAACAGCCTGCAGAGTCTCAGTTCGATAACGGCCGCGCTCGGCGGCAGCAGTGGCGGGGGCATGCCGGGTGGCTCCATTTCGGGCAGTGGCGATACATCGCCGGCCCCTCAACTTGGAGGCAGTGGCTCGACTGGGGGAAATTCCTCGGGTGGCGGAGGCGGTGGCTCCTCCTCGTACAAGGAGGGTCGTCCGCGCAATCTAGGACGCGGCGTGTCCAAGCCCAAGAAGAATACGGTGGCCTCCCTGCTGGCCCAGTCGCGGGCTGTGGGCCTCAAACCGATGCTGGCCACCCAACAGTTGCTCCAGCAAGGAGCCGACATTGTGAGTACTACACTCAAAGGATAAGCCCTGAATATCTGTTGATCTCCCCCTCTCTCCCTCCCTCCACCTCTGTGTATTTTCAGGAGAAGATCCGCCTGGCATTAAGCGAGGCGAATGCGCATATGGAGACATCAACGGACTCCGAGAGCATGGCCGCCGAGAGCGGTCTGTCGGAGTCGGAGAGCGAGGATGCCAATATCCACAATGTGTCGGAGCTGCGGCTGCCCCTGGATATCGGCTGGAAGCGGGACACCGTCATCCGAGGCCTAACCAAGCTGGGACAGATCCGTGGGGAGGTCACCTACTATGCACCGGGCAGTGTGGCGCCCCTAAAGACCATTGGACAGGTTTTTGCTGTGAGTTTGTAGGGCGAATTTTTCTCTCTTTTTTCGAACACAAATCATCAGCCAGCGACCCCACCCCAACCCGCTAGGAGCACTGAACTAACAGCACATGAATATCCTTTTCTTGTACAGATCCTGGAGCAGCAGCCATCGAATCTGACGCGTGAGAACTTTAGCTTCTCCGCACGGGCCATTGTGGGATCGTTTCTGCAGCCCGCACCGCCGCCATACGCCAACGATGGCGAGTATATACGCATGACGGACGAGGATGTGGCCAAGCGGCTGGAGGATCTCAAGGTGTTCACACGCCAGACCCTCAATGTGGAGCAGCGCATCGAGATTGCCAAGCAGCAGCAGGCGATGCGCGATGCCAAGAAGCTGCAGAAGGAGGAGCTGGCGCGCAACAAGGAGAAGGCGCGTCAGGAGAAGAACGCCAAGCTCGAGCAGCAGCGCAAGGAGAAGGAGATGAAGAACCAGCAGGCCATCGAGGTGAGCCTCTAAGTCTAGACGATGAAGTGTGGCATGCAATAATCCAAACTCCTTTCTTTCAGGAGCGCAAGAAGCGGCAAGAGGAGCTCGATCGCCTCAAGCAGGAGGAGCTGCTCAAGAAGCAACAGGTCAGTGCGCCCCCACAGCCCCCAGGAGGAATATTTTCTATAATTTGTATTTCCATTTGTTTTTTGTTTTTGCACTAGGAGAAGGAGAAGCGTCGTCAGGAAGCGATTTTAGCCAAGGAACAGGTACAAAATGCATTCCCTTTTCGTACTTTTTGTACCTCCTCTAACTCTTCTTTCAAACCTTTTGTAATTCGTTTTTTAAACATTTTCCAACCTTGTGTTCTGTTTGTTTTGCCATTCCTTCTGGCTCCATCCTTTTGCAGCTACTTGCGTGATTTCCATTAACATTATTTCCCCTCTTTTTGCTCTCTTATTCCATGCCTCGCAGGAACTGCAAAAGCAAAAGGAACTGCTGCTGGCTGCTGAAATGGTAAGTGCATCCTGGGATCTACCTGAGCTCAATCAATGACCGATCTCTTCCCCCTCCAAATAGGAGCGCGAACGTCGTCGGCAGCACATGAACCTCATACGAATGCTGGAGGTGCGTCGCAAGTTCGAGGAGCGGGAGAAGAAGAAACACCAACTGGTGCTGGATCGCCTGATACTGCGCGAGCGTCGCATGGCCGAACGGAAGCGTGACGCAGAGATCCTGCAGCTGATACGTCGGCCCAACGAGGACTCGGAAATGCTGCAGGAGATGGCGGTGCCAGAGCTGGAGCGCATTGCCGGCAATCGATTGCCCGGCCAGGCGATGGCCGATCTGCTGATGGTCTTTGAGTTTTTGCACAACTTTGGCGAGACTTTGGGCTTCGATATGGAGTCGCTGCCATCGCTGCAGAACCTCCACGATGCCCTCATCAGCGACAGCAATGCGGATGCCGAAGAGGAGCTGCTGTCGGTGATGACGCACCTGCTGGTGTGTGCCATTGAGGATCCCGGAGTGCCCAATCCCGGCCGTCACACAACGTTGCTGGGCCAGTCGTTGCGCAATGCGGACATAACCAACTCGAATGTTTCGGAGATTCTGCGCATCTACCTGTACGCCACGGCTACCGGCGAGGTGCGACAGATGCATGGCATCACCGTGGACAGAGAACGGGAGCGACGGGTGCCCGACCACCATCAGGTGGACGCCGACACCACCACCCATTCGGCCAAGAATCAGGAGTACTACAAGCTGCTGCACGAGAACGACACCTGGAAGCTATCGTACGCCCTCAAGGATCGTCCCTTCGTGGCCTTGAATCCGACGCGTAAGGCCCAGATGCTGGCTCACCTGTGCAACGATCTGCTGATGAACAAGGCGGTCCTGCGGCAGATCGACGGCAGCCTCGAGACCTGCGCCCAGATGCGCAAGGAGAAGTACATGACGGACATGAAGGTGCGCAAGTACAAGGCCCTCCACATGCGCAAGGCCCGCATTGAGGCGTATGAGAAGGCGCAAGCGGAGCGGGAGGCGGCCATGCATGCCCTTATGGCACAGCAGAAGCTGGATGCCGAGCGGCTGGCCCAGGCACAGGCGAAGCAGGCCGAAGCAGAGGCGGCAGCCGAAGCCATGCAGGCAGCGGCAGCAGCAGAGGGAGGCGACACTCCCAAGATAGCAGACAGCGAAGGGGGATTAGCAGAAGGACTTCCTGTCGAGACAAACAACGGGGAGACCAGCAAGAAGGAGGAGGATGGCAAGGATCAGGCACAGCCCATGGACGTGGATGGCGTGGATTGTTCGGCCAGCATTCGGGAGGAGGCCACCGCCGCTGCACTCCACATGGGCATCGACTCCTCCACGCTGGTGAGTCCCGCCAAGAGTTGCATCTCATCTGTGGATTGCCTTACACCCGGCAAACAGATGCCCGGACAGGACTTTGTCACACCCACACCAACGCCCACGCCCACCTACCAGCACAATGGTTCGAGCACGCCCACCACGAGTGGCGTCAATGCGGCAGTGGGAGGAGTGTCAGCTGTGACTGGCGGCAGCGACATGAGCGCCCTGATGCAGGCCAAAAAGAGCGGAGCCCGCAACTCCATCAACGAGGATGGCCACAACGATGTGAGCATCATCGAGGACGATCTCTCCGACCTGGACTCGGAGATCACCAATGTGGAGGAGGACGAGGACAACCGCCTGAGTGCCGATGAGCTGCAAAAGAAGTTAGACAAAATCGTGCGCGCTTCCCTGAACTGCAAAGAGGCGCTCGAGAAGAGCACCAATCAGCTGCGTGCCGCCTGCTTTGGGCAGGATCGATTCTGGCGACGCTACTGGAAGCTGCCCAAGGCCGGTGGCATCTTTATCGAGGCTTTGGAATCGGCCCAGAACGACATCTGTGACTATCACGAGGCACTGGAGAACATGGACGAAAAGCAGCTGCAGCAGCAGCAGCCGAAGCAGAGTGAAGATAGATCCAGAGACCAGGAGGCAGAGCCAGAGACTGAGAAGGTGGCAGCAGTGCAGGAGACGGTGACGGAGACGGAGCCCGGGGCAGTGCAGCCCATGGAGGTGGATGAATCCCACTCAGAGATGGAACCAGCCACAGCCACAGCCTCACAGGATGATGAGCATGAGGAGCATCCAGAACGGAAGATACAGCAAGATCGTCAGGATCAGGAGGATGGAGAGGAGGACGATGACGATGAAGTGACCGAAGTGAACAAAATCGAACCCGAGATTGTGGATCTGGGAGATGATGATGATGACGATGACAATGCGGTGGCAGTGCCTCCTCTTCCGCTAGCCAAGACCGAGCCACCCAGACCCGAAATCAAGGTCAAGTCGGAAATGGAGCTAATGGGCCCGCCCACCACGATGATCTCCACCAAAACAGACTTTGAGGCGGAGATCAAGATACCCTCGATGCCTGGCCACATGATTCCCACCCTGAACAACAACAACAACAGCATTGGCAACGACAGCAGCAACTGTGATAAGTTGGAGGGAATGGGCATGGGAATGGGAATGGCACAGACATATGGCCAGAATCTCATCACATCTTCGGCCATCAAAATGGAGGATCTGAAGAAGGAGACAACCGACGATTGCATCATTGTGTCCACCTCCAGCGGTGACGATACACCCAAATGGTTCTCGATTGTGCAGCGCGAGGTGCCGCTGATCAGCGAACTGCCTGCGGAGGAGGGCGGTGTGGTTGCCCAGGATCTGCAATGGGGCTATGCGAATCAGAACTGTTACGCGCAGCTGCAGCTGCAGGGCCATCCGTGGGATCTGATCAACAATGTGCAGTACTACTCCATACCGATGGAGGAGTGCAAGGTGGATCCGGGGAAGCTGGCACAGGAGTGCATCTTTTCGCTGAGCGGCCTGGACGAGCGGCAGATGCAGGCAAAGCTGGAGGAGTACGAGGCCAAAATCAAGATCAAGTGCTCAGTGCCAAAAAACGGTCTGGAGTCTCCTCATCGCCCCCTCGTGACGACCGATGATGAGGAGCTGGAGATCAAGTTGAAGCCGGATGCAGACAGGGATGGACACATGGATGTGGATGCGGATGCCGACGCAGATGCTGACGCAGACGCCGATCCAGATGCCGATGCAGAAACGGATGCTGATGCGGAGGCAGATGGCGAGGCAGATGCGGATGCGGAGAAGGAGCAAGCCGGCAAGGACAAGTTTTTTCGTTTGCGCACTGATGTCCCCCCGGACACGGGCGGGGGCGGAGGGGCAGTAGAGGACGCGACAGATGCCCCAGAGCTAAAGCCGAAGATTGAGCTGCGTCTGGATGAGGCACTGTCACAGGCCTACTACCACAACATCGCCAATATGTCGCTGAGCAGTGTCCAAACGTACATACCTATCGACATACCCCTGCCCCTGTCCATGACGCCCGACGAGCACCGACTCCTTGAGCAGGTGAAGCTCTCCGGCTTCCCCGACAAGGTGCACGGCGTCTATGTGCCCCGTCGTCAGCGCTACGGCTGGTGGCAGCTCGATGACGAGCAGAAACTGCGCCAGTTCTTGAAGACACTGAATCCGTCGGGGCTGAGGGAGCGCGAGCTGCAGGAGAATCTGACTCGCTTTCTCACCTTGGAGCAGCCACTGGGCGCCAACTACCAGCTACAGCCGCTGGAAGCCCACATGGTGGAGTACTTGCTGCCGGACGGTCCGCACGACTGGAACCCCAAGGTGGCCAAGCGCGTGGAACTGGCCCTGCTCGAACAGCTGGAATCGCTGGAGGACAAGGTGGCCAGCGCCTCCATGCAGCTGAAGAACTGGCAAGTGCCCAATCGAGTTGAAGGCGAGCTGAGCCAGCCAGAGCCGGAGGAGGTCACTGAGGAGGACTTTATCAGCATCATTCCCATGATCCGGGAGCGCATCATCGATCTGGAGGCCAACATTGAGCGGCGCTACCTGAAGCCGCCGCTCGGCTCCCAGACCGGCGACGCACACCTGGCCGTGATTGCCCAGAACCAGCACACATCCACCCAGACCCAGAACTCGGCATCCGCAGCGGCATATCTGCTTCAAATGCAGCAGCAGCAACAGCAGTTGGTACAGCAGCAGCAACAACAGCAACAGCAGCAACAACAGCACCAGCAGCAGCAGCAGCCGGGAGGAAACAGCCTCAATCCCTCGTCCTTCAACGAGCGCACCATGGCCCTGGCAGCGGCCGCAGCAGCTGCTGCGCCCAGCTCCAGCAACGCCTCTGGCTGTCCGGGCGAATCTGGCAGCGTGGAGCCCGTGTCGGGCAACGTCTCGCCCGCCAGCAACTGCGACAGCGAAAGGGACGAGAAGGTAGAGAATATACCCAAGGGCCTGGTACAGTGGCGGGATGCTGTGGCCCGGTCCCACACCACGGCTCAGCTGGCCATGGCCCTCTACGTGCTGGAGTCCTGTGTGGCGTGGGACAAGAGCATCATGAAAGCGGTAAGAGGAGAAGAAATGTACAACAATCCAATGCCCCCTGCCACAACCTCTCCCGCACCATCTCTCCCATACCCTATTCTGTGAACACTTGAAGACACCTCTTCCTCCCCAATTCAGTGTACTGCCATCATGTTTTTTCTTGCACACTCGCTATACGATACTCGCTACACTCACACTCACACATACACATGCACCATGCCACTAACTAAAAGCCAAACCATCGAGTGAGAGACGACGAGAGCTCTCGTTTCTTTAGTTTCTTGCATCGTAGAATAGTTGTTATATATTTTTCATTTCTTTTTATTCCACTTCTGCATCCAACTCCACATCCGAAACACATCCCCTCCTACCACAGCACACCACACCACCCCCTACCCGGAGGGTGGGAAATGCCTGACAAAATTTAAGAAAATTAATTCGAAATTTGATTTGTTTGTTTCCTTCTTCTAATTATATTTATATATTTTTTTCTTTCTTTCTTTCTTAACAACTCTCTTGCTCTCTCGCTGAATGTTTGACTTGTTTGTTGTTTGTGGTGTTCTTCATATGGGTGTTCTCTAAAAAAACATAAACAAAAATACATACATATGTACATCTATTACATGCAACAAATTTAACGCTTTAATACTTACAACACACACACACACACAATACATCAAATGCATACACACACACATACATTACATACATGAATGCTTTTGTTGCTCCGTTAACGTTTAACGTTTACCGCCTATCCGTATTGCCATTTTCCCCCAACCCTCCTCCGACACTGTTACAAACAAAACAACCGAACAAAAAAAATATTTCCCCATCCCTGGACTGACTCGAACCACAACTGCAACCACAACTGCAACCACAACGAACACAACATTTATTTTGTATGCGCACAAAAGTATGCAACAAGAAACAAGTCGAGCAAGAAGAGCAGCGCCAAGAAGCAGGCCACACCCAACAAAAACAAAAAGCAGCAGCCGCAGCAGCAGCAGCAGAAAAAGAACAACAAGAAGAAGAAACAATCCACGCCACAGAAAACAAATAAAAAGGAACCGCTACCACCACCCCAACCGACTCCGACACCCCCAAAGCAGCAACATAAACAGCAGCCACTGAGCATTAAAATCAATCTAAGAGCCCTGGCCAAGGCAGCGCAAAACGGACAAGACACCAACACACAAGACACCCCAGCATCCCTGTCGCCCTCCTACAGCGACGACGACACCCACACGGACACTGACTCGGATTTGGGGGCAAAGACAAAGACAACGACCACGACCACGACAAAGACAACAACAACATCACGCAAACGTCGACGCTCGGGCACAACCACAAACTCTAGCAAATATTCGAATTCCTTACAGAATTGCCAGTTCTGCACCTCGGGCGAGAACGAGGACAAGCTGCTCCTGTGCGATGGCTGCGACAAGGGCTACCACACGTATTGCTTCAAGCCCAAAATGGACAACATACCCGATGGCGACTGGTGAGTACTCTCTCTGCGATCACACCATACGCCCCATACGCCCATCCCCATCTCGATCTCCATCCCACACTCATGACGTTGCCTCATTTCTGCACACACACCCCACCACCCAACACACACACACAAAAAATCATCCATGGATGTCCCTCTTGTCCTCATTGTCGCGTTACTTGTTGAACGTTTTTGTGATCGTTGATCGTTAACCCTTGAGACACTCTGTTGTTGTGTGGCACTGTTGCTCCTCTTCCTCCCTCTCCACCTTCTCCCTTGAGCAAAAAGAATCCCCCGAGTAATCCTTCCCCTCTCCATATCTGCTCTCTCCTTCCAGGTACTGTTACGAATGCGTGAACAAAGCCACCAATGAGCGCAAATGCATCGTGTGCGGCGGTCATCGTCCCTCGCCGGTGGGCAAGATGATCTACTGCGATCTGTGTCCGCGTGCCTACCACGCCGACTGCTACATCCCACCGCTGCTGAAGGTGCCGCGCGGCAAGTGGTACTGCCACGGCTGCATTGCACGCGCACCGCCGCCCAAGAAGCGCAGTGGCGGCACCAGCAGCAGCAGCAGCAAATCGCGTCGCGATCGCGATGCCAGCACAGCGGCCAAGCGGCGCAACGAAAAGCCACTGCCAGGGCCAGGCGGAGCCGCCAGCATGGAGCATTTGCCCCAAATGGGCGGAGGGGACTCGCAGCAGATGCAGCAGCTGCAACAGTCGCTGAATTCGTCCCACGACGAGTCCATGACATCGTTGCCGCCACCTTTGAGGTGAGTTCTGAATGAGACGCAGACCCGAACACACATCTATAATGCTCTCCTTTGGTAGTCCGGCGCATTCGGTTGCCTCGGCCACGTTCGAGGACCAGCAGCACACCAACTCCATCGACAGCAGCCGCTTCCAGGCACATCTAGGCAACAGCAGCAGCAACAACAACGGTGCCGTGCCACTGCCCGAGGATGTGGCTATTGTTGCGACCGGCTTTCCGGTCTACCCGCCTCCCACCGCCTTTGCCGCTGGTCTGTTGAATCCCACAGGAGCCACAGTTCTGCCCGTACTTCCACTTCCCCATGCACCGATGCAGTTCAGCAACGTGGCCATGTCGCCGCGTGCTGTGACGCCCACAAGAACACCAACGCCGACACCGGCACCGACTCCACCGCCACCCGGGCCGCTGCTTCCTCCTGTGCCCACACCGACAACACCGCTGCTCATGCAGGCCTCGCCGACGGCCCTAAACGCCATCTGCCAGTCGCCGCCGCAGCAACACCAGCAGCAGCAGCAGCCGATGACCATGCCTTCGCCACGTGCCTGCACACCCACACCACCCACAGTGGGAGTGGGAGTGGGTGCGGGAGTAACGCAAATGTCACCGCCGCCCATCAATATACACGCCATACAGGAGGCCAAGGAGAAGCTAAAGCAGGAGAAGAAGGAGAAGCATGCGACCAAGAAGCTCATGAAGGAGTTGGCCGTCTGCAAGACTCTCCTGGCCGAAATGGAGGTGAGCAATTCACATGGTCTCATCCCCACTTGGCGTACCTAACCCTGTATCTCTTTTCTTTCTGTTCTTTGCAGCTTCACGAGGACTCGTGGCCATTTCTGTTGCCCGTGAACACCAAACAGTTTCCCACATATCGCAAGATTATCAAATCGCCCATGGACCTCTCTACCATTAAGAAGAAACTTCATGATTTGAGGTAAGGCTTAGCCGCCGCACCACGACGATCCCTTGGATCCATTTATTAACTTCCCTTGCTTTTTCCTGGCTTATAGCTACAAGGGACGCGAGGACTTTTGCGTGGATGTGCGACAGATCTTCGACAATTGTGAAATGTTCAACGAGGATGATTCACCCGTGGGCAAGGCGGGGCATGGCATGCGCAAGTTCTTCGAGTCACGCTGGACAGAGATGACCGAGAAGCACTCCTGATCGTATCCACAGCTTCAGCTTGCCAGTGGCAGCTCCACACCGGATCCCATAGAAATAGTGATACCAGCGGCGGAAACAACCGCTGAAGCAGCACAATTTTGGACAAGAGATTAAATTACGAGTAGGGGAGAGAAATACAATTGTATATAGATAGAAGGATAGCTAGCGATTGGGGTTAGTCGTAGTCTACAAGCAGAAACACACACATACATACACACACACAAAACGCATTAATATATATATTTATATATAGTACGAGTAGATATATATATATATATATATTGACGAGGCCTTTGCAAGAGGTCCTCTCATGTATCATGTCCCCCCCCTTTGTGGCCACGCACCCAGCAGCGTGCCAGCAACAAAATTGTATCTAGTTGATTAAGCAACCAAGGAAGCAGTGAAACAGTATGAACCATAACTATTAGCCAACATAATCGAGCAGCTCCTAACTATAGTTAAACGTTTAAGAAGCCATCTACAGTACAGCACAGACGACTCCGACGAGACAAGAAACGTACAAAACTGTGTCGTTCCCCAATCAATCCCCCGCCCTCCCGCAAATCAATCAATCGATCCATCATTCGAACAGTATTTTGTGCACAAAGCTCGGCGTCTCGCTTTGTTTTACACAATTTTAAAACGTTATAACAAAACTATCATTTAAATTGTAATTTTAACTCTTAATTTTAAATTGTAATTTTAATTTTATATTGTAATTGTAATGGTTTGTGTTTAAAGCATCATCAACGAAGCGCTCATTTAAGTTTTAACGTGTATTACTGTACTTATAGCCACTCCGACAATTGTATTTAAACATATACATACATACATAAGTATATATTTAGCATTAACATTTAACTGGCGCAAGAGCGGACTCAAATATACTCAAAGGAATGGCAAAAGTACGTCACAGAGATCGATCGATCGAATTCTAATTGTGAAACGATGGCAAACCTACAATTAAATTAATTAAATGTATTAAATTATTTACTCTGTGTAAATTTTCCACAATGTAGTTGGCATTTTTAATCGCAAAACGAAAATTGAAATTCAAATACAAAATACAAACTAAAGTTAAATATTAACCAAGCCGATGAGTGAATGAATGGAGGGAGTGAGAGACGAGACGAGACCCTTTGTTGGACATATCCAAAATCGAAAAGCGAGAATTGAGCAGATTAGCAGACTAGCAGATTAGCAGGGTAGAATCAGATGCGAGTTTTAGCTGTAGATAGCCATATAACCCAAAAACGATATACAACATATACAACAAATGATCCGCACGAGCCTAGTATATAGTCCCAGCCCGTTGTTGGGGGAGCATTATGAGAATTATGAATGTTAAATATACATTTACTATAGAGTAGTATGTACACAGTATTCTGAGAACAGACAAAGAAGTTAGACAAAGTTCAATCATATTTACACAAATTACCAAAACATTTTTGAATAAATCAAACTCATTTGCAGTGCAGCACAATAATTGAATGAAATTAAACAAAATGAATGGAATGGAGTGGAAAAATGGAAATACCTTAAAGTACGAGTGTACGAGTAGTGGGGAGGAACAGATAGTTTTGCCGCTTTAACAATAAAATAGAAACCGAATCCATAGCAGACAGACCACACAGAAAACCTCAACAATAACTACCTACATTTAACAGATACAAGTTACAGATACAACTACTGCATAATTGATTAGCCAGTAGCCAGTAGCCAGTGGAGTTAGGCAGTGTGCATATAGCCATTAAAGTTTTGTGTAAAGTTCAATTTGATATGTACCAGAGAAGGGGGAATCTGAGATGGGTGGCAAGTGGGCAAAGAGTGGGGCAGCATTTGCAATGAGTTGCTTGTGTAAATAGAAAGCGAAAGTCCCTAACCAATGCATGTACATAAGTCTATACATATACAGAAAATAGAAAAAAGCAAATAATTAAGATAAAAACCCAATCCAGAAGCAGAAGCAGCAGCAGAGCAAGGAAGCACTGGTTCCAGCATGTTATTGGCATTCATACAGTTGTGTCACTTCCCTAAGCGATATGTATATTGGAGGGGTCGGTCCGCCCCCCACCCCCCCCTTCAAGCAATATCTATTTGTATTCCGATTTGTATTTATTTATGTGTTTGTGGTGATACATACAGATATATATATATATAGAAATATATTTTAAAATACATATATCCCTATTCCATGCATATATGTGAACGTACTTAATCATTAACGAAATATTAAACGATAACTAAGCATCCACCATGCGTATACATACATATGTACGATTGTGAGCGCATAGAAACCAGATAAACATACACACACACACATTAACAAACACAAACGCACACGAAATCAACAAGTAACAAAAAAAAAAAAATTTACAAAATTTATATATATATTAAATTATGGTGGGGCATCATTTTCGACTTTCGTGCACAAGGAAACAACAGCAACAACAACAACAAAAATATAAGTAAAGTAAACCATATAAAAAATAAATGAACAAAAGTCTGTGTGTTTTTTGTTATTTCTTGGATTTCCTATGGAGTACAGCAACACAAATGCAAATTCTGTAATGCAATTAACTCAATTTTGGAAGTTTCATCTCGTGCCAAGCTGCCTGCCTGCCTGCATGCCTGACACGCTCCATCTCTTTACTTGGATCGACAGATGAGTGACCCTTCCGCATGTTCCTGCTGCAGCAAACCGCAAGCTTAAGCTTGGCCATTGGCCCTACCATTTACCGTTGGCCCATGCAATTGGCTGGCCCCATGCAATGCTCCGTTGGCTGCGCTGTGTGACAGGCCATAATCAAAACGAATTAAACGAGCCCAGAACAGCATGGCTGCAATCTGCATTTACTTCGGGGTTTTGAAAGCGCATCAAAAACCCACCGCAACTGTCGAATGGGAGGAGATGGAGATCTCTCAGCCGACCAAGCCGACAAGGCAGAAAATGAACGCATGCTGAGTGGATTTAACCATGGGCATTGGGTATGGCTATTCCCTCAACCAAATCAAGTCTTCAAATCAATTAATTACGAATTATTTAAACTTTATTTTATATTCTTTCCAGCTTTCGGTGCTTGAACTATAAATCTAGATGCTATAAATCTTTCCTTTTTGTTGTTTGGCGCAAATTTTGAATTGCTGACAGATTGCTGGCAAAAGGGTTTCGTTTCCTTCCCCCTTTTTACGTAGGTGCGATGTGGTTTTCGGGGAAAGAGCATTAAAATCAAATATCGTGTGGGAACCGTAACCGTAACCGTAACTGAAGGTGTTAATATTTTAGTGCCTCTTAGGGATCGCGTAATCCCCCAGCAATCAATGCCCCAAAAAGCCGACGTTCAACAAAAGATCATTTCGTTCTTTTACCCTTCGATATCGTTTCCCCTACTGCCTGTTGCCTGCCCGTTGCCTGTTGCTGCAACGTTCTGAAGCATTGACAGTTTGAAACTCGAAACGCTTTAAAAATCGCTGATTTATGTAATTATTCGCGGCGACAAGAATTTCGTGCACAGCCCAGCGACGAACAAGAAGGCTGGGGGGCATGCAACGTAGGACCACGACGGAGAGATTGGGCCCGCAGCGAGCAACAGCGACAGCACCAGCTTCAGCTCCAGCTCCCGCCACATTATCAAAACATCATGGAAGATGACCAAATTAACTGGGCTTCGGTCCCAGACGACAGACTTCGACTTGGCCCTGGACTCGGACTTGGTATCCAGCTCCAACTGCGATGGCGACTACTTAGCGGGGCTACCTGACAGGGCCCAATGCCTTGGACCCTTTGCAGATCGCTGGCTGCTGCTGTGGCTGCTAAAGGCAATAAAATTGACTCCATCGAAATTAAGAACGAACCAACCAAACGAAATTGTATTGAAAACTCTTTTGTGGAACTGCAGTTGGGCTCGGACCGCGAAGAGGCTACTAATTTAGTGCCCTGCAACGAAACGAGTTTGCTGCCGTTGCATCTCCCTCCTCCCCCTCCCCACGACCTATGTATCCAATATACAATATATATACATATGCATAAATACATATGAAAGCAGCTCGCTCCCCCAGACTTGGGTTCGTTGCCCAAAATGGAGATTTTTACGAGGCTTGCAGCCAGTCGCGGCTCGTAGTGGAGCGAGAGATAGTCTTGATTGGGACATTAATTAAGACACAAATTGCTTTACCAAAAAGCGAAGCAATATCATCCATGCATACACCCCATAAGGGTATAAAAAATACCTCTATATTTCATGAATATTCCATGCGGCGTAGGAAACTAATGACAGCTCAATGAGGAAGCGCTTCCAAATGGTTCCAATAAAAGATTGTTTCAAAAGAAACTTAATTAACTATGGGTAAGGTTTTCTTTCAACTAAGAAGAGAAAATTAACTAAAAAGCAAACAACTTAAAGTCAAATTCCTATGAGTAATATTTTCTCGGAATTTGCGGGCTTGAATCGGATGAATGATATTATATTTTATGCCTAGATATATATTTTTTTTTATATATTAATATACAAATGTATCTGTTTTTATTACATGTATGTACCCTTATTTTTGGAGACCAGTCCCTGAATACTTTAAGAAGCAATTGGCAGCGTCTTTCTACATTCCGTCCCCCCTTCTCCCAACGGTTATTCCAGCCAGCCATGTTTCAGCAAGGGAGGAAGAGCAAACAGCAGGCAGAGTTCGGCTCAGCGAGGGAGGAGGGATCGCATCGATGGCTACAGACGACGACGAGGACGACGACGACGATGATGCTGATGATGCCATCTGTGCCGGGCAGCCTGACATGGCAGTTGCTTGTCCCGCCTCGTCCTCCGCCCAACATTCTCCCTCTCCACATTCTCTCGCTGTCTCTCTCTCTATTATCGCTTCGTCTCGATCGTCTTCTTCGTTCGTTGGACTTGGACTTGGAGTTGGAGTTGGACTTGGACCTGGGTCTGTGTCTGGACAACGACATCATATTGGTGACACATGAACACGATTGTGAGCTACCAGCCAGAAGTCAGTCTATAAAGTTGGTAAACAGTTGCTGTGGCTGCTGCTGCTGCCGTTGCTGTTTGTTGTCTGGCTGAACAACGTGCAACATTTGCATTTTTTTAATTTGCTACAACTGCAACGAGCATGGAGCTGGGAGCAATGGAGCAGTGGACCGGAGGGTGCCTGCAGGCGGCAGCAATGGAGTGTGATGCGAGTGCAACTCCATTTTGGTCTCCACCATTTCCATTACCATCTTGGCGTGCCGTGCGTTGGGTTGGGTTGAGTAAGGTCCGTGCCATCTACGGCTCGGGGCGGTGGTTTGCCTGCTTTATCGGGAAATGAAAACATCAGACCATAGCCCCGCGGGCTTCGTGGGGTCCCAAAAAGGAGCCCAACGCCAGATGGCAAAGCCCACAGGGTCAAAACTGCTAAAGGACTGAACTTGCGATGGAAACTGCGGCCTTAATGGTCCGGCTAATCATGATTTCCGTTCGCACTATTTAAGCAGCACCACAAACACACACAAATCATGAGTTGCGGTTGGTGTCAGAGATTCTCAATCTTTCATCTCCATCTTTCAACGTCCATCAGCAATCTCGGGCTTGGGCTTGGGCTGGGACTTGGGCTTGGGCGTTGGCGGCTTAGCTCGTTTCATGTGTAATTGTCTCTGTAATTCTAAAGAAATTGCAGCTGGCACTGGGGACTGTGGAGTGGACTTGATTTATGCGTAGGGGAAAAAGGAAATGGCAACTCTACGGCAAGCGATAGAAGAACACAGAGACAGAGAGAGAGAGAGAGAGAGAAACAAAATCGTTTTTAATTAAAAATATTTTATGCTCGATTTCTGACGAAGCTGCATTAGTCTCTCTCTCCCTCTCCCTCTCCCTCTGTCTCTATGGTTTTGCTCTGTGTGTGCGTGTGTGTGTGTGTCGGCCATATTGTCGGCCATTAAAACAATTCTACACATTTTCCACACCACACTCAACCCAGGGCCCATCTCTCCATCTCCATCTCGGCCACAACCGAGACCAGACCAAGTCCAAGTCCAGAGCTGAGTCCCAGTGCCAGTTGGCCGACACCCATTAGTGCTCAACATGGAAGCTTCGTCGCTCATTCGATTTTAATTGCCACCTTTGGCTGTGGGGCCCTTTTCGTGGGATTTTTTGGTTTTGGTTTTTCGTTTTTCGTTTCCGTTTCTCGTTATACGTTATTCGCCTTCTCGCATTTTGGTCATTAGCGCTGCCCGGCCCGGCCCGAGCTCTTTGCGTGTAAAATGGCAGCTCATTGCGGTTGTCCACTCTGCCACCAGACCAGGCCAGGCCAGAGCAGACCAGAGCACTCCATGGGCAGCCGTTTGGTTCGTTCGCCTACAAAGTTGTCGACATATTGAGGTTGATTCGTTCGGTTCGGTTCGGATCGGTTTGCTTTGGTTTGGTTGTAACTAATCCGTGAGTGGAGGCATCTCTCATCGCGTTTCTGCTGCTGCCTCACATGTGCAAAGTCATCAGCAGGCAGCAGGCAATCGCATATACCCATGGCTGTTTTAGCCCTGATAATGATGATATATGGCACATTATATACACACACACACACACACATGTACACACGAACACCAAGGCGACTCCGGCTAATGGAAATTATTTAAAATGTTTCCACAGAATTTCTCAAATATTTCCTCTGATGATTGCCTTATAAGTAGTTATGACTGCAACTTATTGGTCGTCGTCGTCGTCGTCGTCCTCTTCTTCTGGCCTTTTCTTCGATTATTATTTATTTGCCCAGGTGCTCCGCTTGTCGTTGGGGGACAGGAAATTGCTGGTAATTGCTGCAAAATTTCGTAGTTCTTTCGTAATTAGGGATTGTTTTGCGGCAATGATTTTGGTCGTTTCTTCTTTTGCCTTCGCCATTTGTGGCATGCCACAATGAATGCCATAATCAATGAATAATTGATTCAATTTGGCTGCTAAGTTATTCCCGGTACCACAAACAGCATGAAATAATTGCAGAAAATTGTTACATTTTATGGGGTGACTTTCCAGGGTTGTGGGAGGGAGGCAAAGAAATTTTTGAAATGTAAAAAAAAGAAAGGATATTTAAAGCTTTTTTATAGGATGCAAAATGGTTACAATTTGGCGGAAAATAAATCTATAAA